AATGATCTCTACTCACCTTTTCCAATTATATTCAATGTATATACTTTTTGTTGTTTGCTTCCCACAGTGGATGTAAAGTCGGAGGTTCCCGTGGGATTAGAGCCTATCTCACCATTAGACTTGCGAACTGATCTCAGGATGATGGTTCCCATGGTGGACCCAATTATGCGTGAAAAGCAGCTACAGCAGGAACTACTTCTGATCCAGCAGCAGCAGCAAATTCAGAAACAACTGCTGATTGCAGAGTTTCAGAAGCAGCATGAAAACCTGACCCGCCAGCATCAGGCCCAGCTCCAGGAGCACATAAAGGTAGCAACATTTTTCATTTATCCCTCACTTTATCTGCAAATGGAATATGCTTAGGCAGACATGAAAAGGGAACGTGCTTGAAAGGTTTGCTGTGGCTGAGAGATGGTGTTCGAGTGCTTATTTCTCTGTATTTGAATGATAAAAGCCTTTTCAAGTTAAACTGCTAGTGCCTACCAGTGAGTTGCTCACAGCAGACCAAGGCAGTACTATGAGAATCATCAAGCTCGTGAAGCCACCACATCCACATAAAATCAAACTATCTATTTCACGAAGCTGGATTTTCAGCCAGACTTCAATATGTCTGTCTTTTCTGTGGGGGTGGTTTTGAGTATATTAAAAGACTGGGGTGCTGTTGGAGTTTGTGCTTAGAAATCAAACTGATAAGCAAAAGCATAATATTTGCATTTGTAAAATGGAGGCAGGCCCTGGAAGTGTTGTGTTTTCACTCTTCTCTGAGCTACCTCATAAAATGCAAAAAGAAAATGATTTATTGGATTACATGCCCTATAGTAGGATTGCTATAATGGATTTTGACTGGGAGTTTATGACCTTGCCTTTCTTTTAATTTTTTTCCTTCTGATCTACTTGCCATTATCCTACCGTGCTAAGCGTCTGTGTGATGGAACTGACAAATGCAGCGGAGCACAGCAGCCAGAGTTGGGTGGTGCAATGACAAAACACTCTGTGCAGTTTCCAGGCATTTTTGCCAAAAGAGAAAGAAATTAAACCAGAGCAGCAGGCCGATACCTGACATCAGAGTTCATTTTAGTGACAGCCAGTAGCGCCCTATGCCTCTTGAAAGACTGGGGAAAGTCAGTAAGGAGATGAGAAGAAGCATAAGCACAAAAGCAAGCACTGATGCTCAGTTGCTCAAGGGGGTTGTTTTAGCCAGAACTGACATACAAACCAGTGCAAACTACCCTTTCTCATGTCTTTTTGTTCTGTGCAAGTTACAACAGGAACTCCTAGCCATTAAGCAACAGCAAGAACTCCTTGAAAAAGAGCAGAAACTGGAGCAGCAGAGGCAAGAGCAGGAACTGGAGAGGCATCGCAGGGAACAGCAGCTTCCTCCCCTTCGAGGCAAAGAAAGAGGCCGAGAAAGTAAGAGCCAATGTACAATGAATCCTAATAAGAAATTAATCCATTCCCCTTTGCCTTCTCCCAGCCAAAGTGGAAGATGAACAGGAACCTGAAGCGATCCCATGACTGTGTGAAACATGCAACTAGAAAGTCGAGGCTGTGCTGGCAGAAAGGCAGGGCTACCTGCTGCAGCCACAGAAGCTGGTTTGTGCGGAGACTTGGAGGACTGTAGGAAAGCACATTTTGAGAGACCTGTGTATATGCCTCCCAGGAATCTAGCTCCCTTATAAAAAAGGAGGGAATTTGTAAGCCAAAAGCTTCACTTGAGAACTTTCTGAAGAGCTTATTTCCCAATAGAGAAAGCACTACAAGACAGAAAAAAAATCAAATTATTTGCTGATTAACTAATTTGAATATTTTTTCAAGATTTGAAATATATAAGAATGTCTTTGTCTGAGACTTCTGAATACTTTTCCTAGTACCTTTTCAAACTCCCTTGTGTTTGTTCTTGATGCCATTTCATGAGACCCAGCCAAGAGATATTTCTAGCTCATATATAGCTCGAAGACAAATGACAGATATAAACTACAATGTTGGAATTTGGTGCTCACTAGAGGGAGACAGATACAAATAATTCTCTTCAGTGAGATTAGTTTAAAAGTCAGGTTGTAGAAGTATATGGTGAAGGTATTCAGTGAAGCAGTGCAACTGCCATGAGCAGGTATTGTTACTTGCCCTGTGAAATGAGCACAAGAATTAATTGTCAGAGGGCAAAGCAGGAGAGCGGTATATCATGCTCATGGGGATCATATGCTCCTGCCTTTTTTCTTGGTGGAAAAATTTTATCAGTTCAACAGTTGTAGGTGTACCATATTGTGGACTTTAGAAATTACTATGTCTGGTAATGCTTCCAGTACTTTGGTGAACAATGAGTCATAGAATCATTTAGGTTGGAAAAGACCCTCAGGATCATTGAATCCAACCATAAGGGTGTGCAGGGTTGGGAGGTGAGGAGGGGGTAGAGGTTGCAGGTAGGTCTCAAACCCAGGTCACACCACTCTGTGGCAGAGGCACTTCTGCCATGAAAACATCACCAGCCTGTTGACCCAGCAGTGGGAGGATGTCAGAAGCCACAGGAACAAAAGGTTCCTATAAGTGATATGACAAGTCAGCCTCCACATGAACAGTCGAGCTTTATTAGTCCTCCCACCAAAGGAAGAGCAGCGATGTGAACTCAGTGATTCCCTTCTCAGTTTGGCTCGCTGGACGGCTGTTCAGTGTGCAGCAGCCAGGCAAGCAGCAGTTGTGACCCCCTGGGCCCAGCCCTAGCGGTTGCTGCTGCTGATCTACTTAATGAGTAGAGGAGGAAGGAAAGTGCAGGCCAGGGAGTAGAATCTGAAGCTGAAGGGTAGTGGAGATATTTTGTGGGAACTGGGTCACAGGGGGACATGCTCACCAGTTAGCTGTGCTTTGTTAGGGCTGAGTAACGAATACTTATCGGTGTATTAGTGTAGCTTAGTGCTGCTGCTTTCAAAAAAATGTTTTTTTCTTCCCTTTTTTGCCACTGGTTATGGAAAAGTGGACGATTTTCCTTTTTCATGCTTGCTTTATGAACAGTATCAGCATGTACTATGCTGCAAGTAGGAACTGGCACTTTAACCTGACTTTGACAGCCCTAATTCTTGTACTGTATTGAGCTAACCACCAAGAGAGGTCAAAATGCACGGTGTCTTCATGGCATTTTGGTCTTTCTGTTGGTTTTGTGTCATAAGAGTAGAGTTATCAACTAAGAGTCATTTTAAAAACTGTGGTCTGTCTTCAAGACATCACAGGTCTTAAGTGGTTTGAGTAAAAAGGCCTACGGTTGGCTCTTTCTGCAGCGTTCTGCTCATAACCAAGACTGTGCAGAGGGCAGTTCAGCTGTGCTGAAAGAAAAAAACATTCTTTACTGCAAACTGAAAGTGACCTTTTGGCACTATCTTTTTAGTTCTATCCTTGGTTTTCTATTTGGGAATTATTAGGGAATAATTTAAATTCTTTAGATACATCTGACCCTGGATAAATGGCCTCATCTCCTGATGAAATACTCCTTATGACTACTGGATTTCTGGGTTATGGCCGACTTTAGTCTTCTGCAGACAAACATTTAACCCAAATGTTACCTAATTTTGACTGTTATGCACCAATATTTTTTATAATTTACAACACTTCCAGCAGCAAGACTGGTTTGTTTGTTTGTTTTTTAGTAAATATAAAATATGTTTAATTTTCTGTGTCTTAGGAGCAGTGGCGAGTACAGAAGTGAAGCAGAAACTTCAAGAGTTCCTGTTGAGTAAATCTGCAACAAAAGACTCTCCGGCAAATGGGAAGAATCATTCCGTGAGCCGCCATCCCAAGCTCTGGTACATGTATGTTCAGTAATAAGCTGTTTCCTTGCCTTGTTGAGGTATCCGTTAAAACTTGCCAGGATGCTCCTTCACAGAATCATAGAACGTCTGGGCTGGAAGGGACCTCCAAAGGTCATCTAGTCCAACCCCCCTGCCATAAGCAGGGACATCTCCAACTAGGTCAAGCTACTCAGAGCCTCATCTAGCCTGATCTTGAATGTCCCCGGGATGGGGCCTCCACCACCTGTCTGGGTAACCTATTCCAGTGGTCTGTCACCCTCATACTGAAAAACTTTTTCCTAACATCTAACCTGAATCTACCCTTTCCTAGATTAAACTCATTAGCCCTTGTCCTGTCACTACAAACCCTTGTGAATAGTCCCTCCCCTGCTTTCCTGTAGACCCCTCTCAGGTATTGGAAGGTTGCTTCATCAGAGCTATTGAAACTCCACCTCCAGAACAGGACAGAAGTTAGCAAAAAGCCAGAAGTGTAATAAGTCTACTTGAACTGAAGAGTACTTGGTCTTCAGTGATGAGATGAGAGCTATACAGAACAAAATCCTGTGAGAAATTTGTACTAATTTTTTATTTCAGCTGCTTTGTCTCATGATGCTACCACAAAGTTTACAACTCTACCTGTCATTTTTCCAAGTCTCTTCAATTTTTGCAATAAGAACAACTTTGTATTTGATTTACTTGCATTTTGAGTCAATCACAAAACTTCTTCCTTCTTGAAGTGTTGCTTCTTTCTAGTGGTTACCTGAGTAGTGTAACTAACTCGGAAGGATTTTGAGACAGATAGTGGTCATTTAACTTTTCTTACTCTGATGGATTTTAGGATCCAAAAGTGCATATTCTTATGATGCATTTGCTTTGATAAGACTCTGCTTAGACCATTGAAACAAGTGATTTTTTTTGAGTCCTGTAATGGGCCTGTTAACTATTAAGAGTTTACAGTTTATACAGTTCTTTCCCCCCTTTTTTTTTTTTTGGATGCTAATTAATTCCTTTTAACTTCCTTATTACCAGACACATAAGTCAATCCAACAAAATTAACTCTGGCTGCATTTCTGAAAGACTTCAATCTTATGCCCGAGTTGACCTTTCAGTAGGACAAACAGAAATGTGTACTCTGGATTCCTGTCTTGTTCTTTTAAAAAAGAATTACCGAAGGCCTGCCCTTGGAGTTTCCATTCTGATCTAATCAGAACATTGTGGTAACATGATTTAATATATAGCTGCATTATTCCTGGTAGAGATATAGTACTTTATTTTTTTTTTTCAAATAATGTGTAAAATTCTCTTGAGTATGTAAGGTTTCTGAACTAATAATGCAAGCCTAATTCTGAGGCTTCAGATGAGTTAAGAATGAGGAGTTCTGCAAGAGGATGTCTTCTGCTACACTAGAGAAAGCAGTACTTCCACTCACGGTAGTGCCACTTCTGACAGAAACATATTATTGATTAACACACTACACTGGAAGGACAGGGTGAGACTCTGTAAAAGGCCACAAGTAAAGTTGTGTTTACATAAACAAGAAGTTTTAAAGTTTTCCTCCTTTCCCTCTGTCCCCCTTTAAACAGAAAAATCAACCAAGCAACAAAAAAACCCCACCTAACCCATCTCTGGGCCAAACAATGCAATTTGCAGTTTCTGTGTTCAGAAAGACCTACCCACACTATTTCTTTAGTGCAGCAGTTGTGAGGAAGAACTCATCAGCTTGGAGCTTCTCTGCTGGCCTGAGTGCTGTGTGCTGCAGAGTGGTGTACTCACAAAACCTACAGACTGAACTTAAGTGCAGGGTTTTATCTACCTTGTGCACTAAGTAGTTTGTTTTTTTTTTTTTCAACAGCTAATAACTCAATATTTTTGGTCAATTTTATACAAGCCCCCCGGCCCTGAAAATGCCCCACATTTTGATAGAAGAGGCTGAATCAACATACATCTGTTTGCATGCGATAAACAAGACTTAAATAGTTTTGCTGTGTCTCAGCTGGTCCATATTAAAATGCAACAATATAAAATGGTCAGTTCCCCATACTGGTGACAGATCCTGTCTGTGGGTCAACGTGACTCTTATCCTATGTGACTTTTATAATGAAGGCAAAAAGTGTGTTCTAGGGGATCCCAAAGAGTTCCATAACTTACTGTAAAAGTTAAATTGGTTACATGAGCCTGTGGTTTGTGCACACTTAGAGGAACAAGAATATAAACACAGCTGAGATGTGTGTACAACATGTGTGGATAGTTACTGCTGGTCACCTCAGTGACTGCCAATTTGTGACCTCTCTGTGTCTGCTGCAGGGCTGCCCACCATACCTCACTGGATCAAAGCTCTCCACCCCTGAGCGGGGCCTCGCCACCATACAAATACACTTTACCAGGAGCACAGGATGCCAAGGATGATTTTCCACTTCGTAAAACAGGTGAGTTAGTGTAGTTTATTTGAGCCCTTTACCCAGCAATTCTCCCACCCCTTATTTTAACCAGATTATCTATCAGCAAGGCATATATCACAATCCACAAAGCCTGTTCAGGATGATTCTATGTGTAAGTTCAAAGATCCTGACTGTGTCTTTATGAGGTTGGACTGACCACATGGTATCAAGAGTTGGTGTTTCCCAATGCTAACAGCTACTGCAAGCTTCAGTCCTGTTAAGTTTTCATTTCTAAGCAGACCATCATTTCACAGATCTTTTAGGCACTATTTTCTTTGTCTCAGTATTGCTTCTAGGTTTAATAGCTCTCTCTCTCTTTTGCATGGCAGATACAGTATCTGTCTTCAGATTGTACGCTGCCTTTAAACAGTGTTTTTCAGGACATTTTGAGAGGAATTAATGGAAAGAAGAGGAATTAGATTCGTATTATATTTTGTGTCATTGGTTGTCAGTTTATATGCGTATGTGCATCCACATACAGACATTTGTGTGTGCTTTTTACACGTAGGAATGTGTAGTTTTGTACAAGAAAATCTTTGTTTGAACATTTGCAAATGTTTTGGAGGATTTAGCAACTGGAGCTTTTGTATTGACAGCAGGTGAATTTTAGATGACTTTTTCTGCACCATAAAGAAAGCTAGAAGGATGGTGGCTGTTGCCTCAGGTCCTTGGTGCAGTGACGGGTATCCAGGAATGCAGAGATACACTAAGGGGAAGAGAAAAGAAAACATTAGATCGCTTATTGCATGAGTCTGCTGTTGAGTGATACAGTTACATTCAGAGAGAAAGTGTGACCCCCTACTGTGCTAACAGCCTTTGAGTGTGATTTAGCCACTAGGAAATTGAAAAGTAACTGCAAAACTGGTACTGACTTGAAAAGAATTGGCATTTGGAACCAGCATACGTTGAGAAAGAAAATCAAATCTGTATCTGATACTTTGGGGCAGACTTTCTAAGCTCACAGGATGTCCCCAAATATTTTCAGATGAATGAAAGCATGAAGAGCAAAATGCTAATTTATTCTAGCTGAATTATTCTTTGTACAGTATGGTGGCATTATAACAAGAGTCTATAAAATCTTGTTCAGGCTATTTAGTCACAATAAAAGCCCTTATGTGGTTCTCTGCTTAGTACCACTGTACAACTTATATTTCCTGTGACAACAGAGTATACATTTTCATTTTTTAAACAAAAGGATACACTCTACATCCTCTAAATGCTATGGATTCAACTGCGTGTTTTTGAAATGCAAGTTTTAATTTTTCTTCTGTGTTTGTGTTTCTTAAATGTTATGATTGGTATTTATGATCTGTCAGACTGTTGATCGGTAAAGCAAAACATTTTCAAACATTGTAATAGTAAAATTCTTGTGCAGCTGCTAATACTTTTATATCTCTGTGGGGGTTTCAAAATATTCCTTAATTCAATTCCCATTGTCTGCATAAGAAGACTATAATATAATTAAATCCAGATGTTTTGTGTATGTTATTCCAAATGTTTGGGCATGCAGTGTATCAGTTCCAAAATTGAATAAAGGACGTGATGACTCTCTGAAAAGATATCTGCAGAATAAATACACAAATACTAATATAGTCATTATCCTAACCATTTCTATGACATTTACATAATTACTCTGATAAGCAAAATGTGTAGCATGTTGTGTGTTAGCAAGGAAGTATATGTGATATCTCTCCATATCTGTGAAAACAGCAACTATTAAATATCCTGTTTACACGTCCAGTCTCTCTGCGTACAAGAGTTATTTATTTCCACCCTTCAGCAACATCCCCACAAAGGTTTTAATGATTGTTCATCAGGTTGAGAGGAAAAGCAACAGGAACCAGATCAACACAAGTCAAATGACCCTAAGCTGATCTGGGTGGTTATAGGTCCATCCTCCAGGCAGAGGGGACATTGTGGAGCCTATATCATCCTCATGGGACCTTACTAGACAAAGATGTCCCGTGAACACTCATGTATATGGACAGGCTCTAGGCCTGCAGAAAGCTGACCTTTGCCATGAGGGGTGAACCTCTTTTCCTTTCCTTCAGGCTATGAACACTTATTGCCACTGGCTCCTGGTCAGCCCTCTGTGGTGCTGAACCTGCATGAAGTCAGCAATTCATATGAAAGCAGACTTAACATTCTTTTCAGCCTTAAGAAAGGAATACCTGTTGTGGGTTTTAATCACAGCTTTGTTTTGCTTCTCAATTTTGTTTTCCATACTCATAATATAAAGCAAAGAGGTATCTTGCTTTTCTCCAACTTTAATATTACACTCTTGGAAGATAATTCTGGTTGAATCAGTTACTCTAAGACCAGGTTTAATGGGCAGCAAAGCTGAATGATTCTCTCCTGACATCCTAATGTGTTTTTCAGTGCTAAGGAGACACCAAGTGTCACACAGGCATTGTAAATCGTGAATCTTTCTTGCTCCCTTTCCTGTTAAGTCATCTGTCTAACTTTTGCGTCATCAGTCCTGAGCTGGCATCTCCTTATTAACCTTCTAAAAGTGAATTCAGGGAGACTGTAGTAAAGAGGAAAATATGCTGTGCAGCTTTTAGCCTGCTAGCATCTAGAATGATGGGAAGAATAGTTAACTAGGGAAAGACTAAAAAAATCTCTGTGTGTTTACAGTTAGGAATGAGAGTTAACATCCTAGTGCAGTGACTGTGGTTACTCAGCAACTCTCTTAGCCATGTGGATTATTCCTTTCTGTATAAGATGCAGCAGAACCTGTCAGCAGTGGGCTTCACACCGCTTAGCTGCATGGAGGTTTGGGACTGTCTTGAGGGCCAGAGGCCAGGATATGCAGCTCTTTGCACAGCTGCATTCAGATGCTCTGTGTTGACAGACTTTCAAAAGAGCAGAGCAAAGGGAACTATTGCTTCATTGGACAGATAAATATACCACAAGGAGAAGCTACATATCCATAGCCAAGAGCAGAATTTAGCCTATACAGCATAAGATCAAACTTTTTAAATACCCACAAATTTCACCATGGATACTAGTCATAATGTGTATTTTCTGCAAAGCACCCAAAAACCTGAGCAGCACATGGTTCATTAACTGTCACTGAGCTAATGCATCAAAATTTCCCAGAGATGTTTGAAAATTCCTCCCTATTTCTGAACACTGTTGAAATTCATATCAACTGTTCTCAGAGTTCTGATGGGAGCTCTGCACTTTTCAAGACCTGCTAATTTAGTATGGGGGACATTTGATTGTTGATATCCATAATTCTATGTCTATCTATCTGGGAAAATATCTGCTTGATGAGATTACTGTAAAACTAACAAAAATGTAGCAAACAACATAGGTTTGATAGGGTAGAAGTTCTTTTCAAACAATAATTTTTTGGTTTTTTTAACCTTGTCAAAATAAAGGCAGAAATTCCAAAAGGCCAGTAACATTTGCATTTTCTTCAATCTGCAGCATTTCATTTTCTGTGTGCAGGTGTTGATGCAAACCAGCAAAAGCCAGTAAATTCCAGTAAAGGTTAGATCTCTAAACTAAAGCTGCGTGCTTTTTTAAAATGTTGCTGTAGATGGAATTTCTGGATTTTGCCTCATGTTTTGGCTTTTGCTGGAAGAAATTCCTGGGGACATCATCATATTGAGTATAAACTGTTTTTTCTTTCCTGAGTTTAGCACAATCATGGTAGCATATGCATATCAATCAGTATTTCCATTTATTTTGGTTTTATGCCAGTTGAATCTTTCCTAGCTGATGGAGAGGTAAACCTACAACTTGCATCTTGCTTGGGGATCTGAAGATTGCTCACTATGGTACAATTGGAGAAGATGTTTGCAGCTCACTACCCAAAAACTGGAAGCGTGCTCAATGGAAATACAGCGTGAGGTTTTTTAAATAGCAAATAGTACAAGATATTCTTGCTTGGAGGGAGGAAGATATGTAATTCCGTACAGGAAAAAAGAGGAGATGAAGGATTGTTTAATATTGTGATGAAAGAGAGGAAGAAGGTTGGGCTGCACAGTCATGAAGATCACTTTGTAAAAACCATGTTAAGTTAACCTGATTAGGCGGTAGAATAACAGCATAGCTCTTGCGGAATGAGAGTGAAAGAGTCTCGAATGAGAACTCAGCAGATGCAATTTTTTTAAAAAATAAATTAGTCAAAATATTTCCTTACCATTATTCTTTCTGCACTTAGTGACTCAGTAATTTACTGGAGCATTTGAAACTGAGAAGAAAAACATTTTGTGTGTGGAAGTTTTTTGTTCTTTTCCCTTTTGTGCCTCTAAATTCCGTTTCTGTTTGCATTTTCTAGGAAAACCTTCTCCTGTAAAGTAACAGTATATGAAAAAGCTCAATTTCTTTTAGTCTTCAGTAAAAAAAAAAAGAAAAAAGAAAAAAAGAAGAAGAAAGGCTTCGTGGATCACAAACCCTCAGTTAGTGTGTCTGCCAAAATGAAGAAGTCAGGCTCACTAGAGAGGAAGGTTGTTTTTCTCTGAATTTGAGAGTGAGCACAATAAATGGGAGAGGCACTTTATTTAAGCAGGGAAGCAAGGCAAAACATGATATGATTTTCTTTATTTTATCCTGTTTTTCAGGTATGCTATTTTATTCCTGCCTCAGAATCTTTGTTTTCCTGTTTTAATGAACAAGGTTGACAAATTCAGACTAAGTGATGTGCCCAAAGGAAATCAGCACTGCTTACCACAGGGAAGGGGAAAAAAAATCCTGATTCCCTGCCCTTCCTTTTCTTGATTTCTCTTCCATTAATCACTAGACTTCTTTAACCTTCCTAAATTCACTATCAATAACGTGAGAAGGCGTAATTAGTAGTAAGAGGTTTTAGAAAGAGAAGAAACTTCCACTTGCGACTGAGGACTGAATCTGGAGCAGACTGTTGTTAACAGCCTCCTGGATGCCTGCAGTGCAGAGGGAGCAGGCAGCCGGGAGGAAGGGTAACACCTGCGTAGCCACTGTGCTGGGCCGCAGGCATCGCAGGGACAGCGGGGTGC